TACAATATTTAAATGCAAAGGAATGCCCTTCTCGGACAAAACTAACTGGAAAAGTGGGATAGAAATGAACGACCCTTTTATATCTGTATACTCAAAATAGTTAAGATAGATATACAGTTCCACTCTCTTAATTCAATGAATAAAGAGGTTTGTTGTAATAGTGTTTGAGACTGGATATCAAGTCTGCATCTTGTACAATGGATAACCACTAAGACAACAATATGCAATGTAGTAATTGCTGAAAATGCCAGTAATCGGTTGTGAAACTGTCTTGTTGATATTTGTTTCTCAATAAAATTATTTTTTTGTGATGAGACATAATATATATTAGACAGATTAAAAAAATACTTATACTTAAAAGTTTACTGTTTTTCTGAAATTCAACTACAACTTGGCATCCTGCATTTCATCTGGTAACCCAAGAGATCATTACCTATTATCTACAATAGTGAAGCAACTACTTCTGGCTCTGGGTAAGACCAAAGCACTTTCCACAAGATGGGTGAAGCAACATATCCTGGGCACAGAGAAGCTATTTTTCAAGTAATTCAGGTAGCAGCAGTGGTTTGGTCCAAGACTTCTGGTGGATAGACTCCTGGTTTCATGAGTCCTAGAAGACTGACAAGTACGATAAGTATGGTATCTGCCTACTATGAGGTTAGAAAACAAGAAAGTCAGTAACACATTCAAGATGTGTAAAATGTAAAAGACTACATTTCATTTGTCTTTTTCATCTGTTCTGGCCTACGAACCATGCTCAACCTACCTAATCTGTGATTGTGACTTAAAAAACAATAAGAATCTTTTTTTTTTTTTTCGTAGAACCGGGGATTGAACTCAGGCCCTTGCGCTTACCAGGCAAGCGCTTATTCTACTGAACTATCTCCCCGGCCCCAAGAACCTTTTTAAAATGAGGTTTTTATACATCATTATACAAATATGTACAAGCAATTTTGAAGGCCGAAGAAGTCACTCCAAATCTGGAGGCTTTAAGGCTTTGTACATATTAGGGGTTTTTGTTTTCCAGATACTGTCTTGCTATGTAGTTCAGGCTGGTCCTACACTCACCATGTAGCCCAGGCTGGCCTTGAACTAGCAACAATCTTCCTGCCTCAGCCTCCCAAGTGTTAGGATTACAAGTGTGTGCCACCACGCCTGACTGTATTGGGTTTCAACCAGTAATTAAACCCGAGGTAACATTTGGAAGCTTGGCCTTAGCATCATATGGAGGGCAGATGGAGGAAGGTGATTCTGGCCAAGTGTGAAAGCTTCACACACTCCTAAATTAAGGAAAATAATACTGAGAGAAGGATATGATTAGAAACTTCTAGAATTCTACTAATGCTGGGTTTCTCAGCTTAGTGCAGCTGCTGACAATCTCAGGGTGCCCTGTCATCTTGTCAGAGTTTTATAGAGAAGGATGACCCACAGGAGCAGCCTTGTTGTGCTTGAGGATTGTTCAACACCTGGAAGGAGCTTCCGATCAGCTCTTGGCTGAAGTCCACCCCTGGGCGCCTTTCACGAAGGCCAGGCTATCAGGCTATCAACCACCACTCTCACCCCACCCTGTTCAAATACCCTGTCGTCCACGTGGATAATGGTATCCAGGGAAAATTTGTATTGGAACCCAGAGCATCCACCTCCCTCCACCTGCAGCCAGAGGAACTCTGACCCTTCGGTGATTTCCAGAAGCCTCTGGACGCAGCTGTCCATGAGGCAGATCTGCCCTTCGCCAGCCTCAGGGCTGGAGGACGATGCTCCCTGACGTGCCTGCTGCGCCACTGATGCCTCGAGGACCCTGCCCCTCCGCCAGGGAACAAGCACTCTCAGCACCGATGCGGTTAGGGACAGAGCCCAGGAGGCCGCATCTTGACCTACTCTCAATAAAATTATTTAAAAAAAAAAGAAGAGTGAAGGGCCCGACACCTGCCATGCTCACCACACTACACACTGCACTGTGGCTCCGAACACAGCTCAGGACTCAGCCGTGGGCCTCTGCCTCTTCTGTGTCAACCCATATCTTCCTTCAGTCCTTTGCATACCCTCCACCCACTGACTGACCAGCTCAGATTGCTGTCCAGCACAGCCTTGCCCTTCCTCTCCCGTGCCTACCCAGCCCCCAGATGGATATCCAACATGTGGCAGGCTCACCAGGGCCCGCAGCTGCTGTAATCCGGCTTCTGCATCCCAATGAAGGCGGCTCTATGTATTCTTCCAGATGTCCAACCCACGCTTGGACACTGTGCTTACCTTAAGTTAATGAGCACCTGTTGCTGTAACAAATACCTGCTGTAAGCCCTCTACAGGGCTTACTGTGGCTCACGGTTTCCAAAGTTTGGGTCCATGCTCACTTGGCATTGTCAGTGTGGGTGGGCGAGGCACAGTCCACCGCACAGGTGCATGGCTAGAGGAGGCTACCATGGCCGGAGGAGGCTACTGCAGGCAGACAAGATGCAAAAGAAAGAAGGGGCTGGGGCCCAGTCCCCCTTCCAGGTGGACCCATGCTATGACCTAACTCCCTCCAGGCCCCCTCCCCCCACCGCATACGGCTCTTTGTGGGGCAACTCTCCCCTCACAGCCTTTACCCACTTCCGCAGCAAGGCCACTTGGTCGTCTTCAGAGTACAGCAAAACCTACCTGTCTTCACTTAGCCCAGATCCCTGCACCCATCCCAGCCTGCGCCCCTCAAATGAGTCAGGGCTTAATTCAGGCTACTCCACCACCCACACCCCTACCTGATAGCCCATCTCAGTCTGCACTAAAGGCCTTACAGTAGTATAGGAGGCTGTGCCCAGCACCACCCAACTCCCCTCTCCCCGCGCCTCCCATCTACACCTCCTACAACACAGATCCTCCCAATTAACCTTCTGTCAATCTCCCTTGTCCCCAGCTTTACAGAAAAGAAGTATCTTGCTTTGCTCATTCCTGTATTCCCAGTACCTCACCAGTGCCAGGTACACAGTGGATCTCAATGTGCATTGAAGGAATAAGAGAAAAGCATGAGTAGAGAATCCCTTCTCTTTGGAGGATTCTCTCCAGGCCAGGGCAGCCGGCAGCAGGCGCAGCCCTCCCACACCTGGAGACACTGGAAGATTCTGGCAGAATTTACACGGCTGGTGCAGCAGGGACAGCAAAGCTGCTGGACAAGCTCACACCATCCGCTGCAGGCGTCTAATCAACAGATAAAAATGAAATCAAAGAGATGAAACACCTCACAAATGGTTCTCAAAAACTTTCAGGAATTTTATTTTTATAAATTTTTTTAAATTCACATTTTAAAATGTATTCCAAGGCAAAAAAAAAAAAAAAAAAAAATCACATAAATGATAAATACAAAAGTTTTCAAAACATACAAGACACATACTATGTAAAAACATCTTTACATATACAAAGTTCAATGTAAAAAAGAAAAAAGCAGGGAAAATGCTTAATGTTCATTTGCCAGCTGCAAAACACCCTCTCTCGGCCAACTCCACGAGCTGCATGAAAGCTGTGGGTGCCCCGGTTCTCACTCCACCTGATCTTTCTTCCCATTTTCCCTTTGAAGTCTAAGAGAAAGGCTGGTCAAGACTTTTAAAAGGTTGATGTTTGTAATTACACTCAACAGTCAAGTGACATTTAAGTCACTATTTTATATTCTGGGCAATATACTCTTAAATATATGAAAATCAAGTTATGATTTGAGTATTCTAAGGAAAACATAAAACTTTTTTTTTTTTTTTTAGCGGAACCAGGTATTGAACTCAGGCCCTTGTGCTTGCCAGGGAAGCGCTTATTCCACTGAGCCATCTCCCTGGCCCCATAAAATTTATTTTTATAAAATTAAGGTTCTACTTAACCTATTTGTTTAAATCACAGTAAGCTTGTAAACCAATGTGTTAACCTATCACAAATAAGATTCCTTAATAACGTAAAATATTTTATTCACTGTATTTATGTTCTTGCTGATGCTCCACAGGAAAATCTAACCTGGAACGCACCTGGGCAGGCTCCTCTCCCCTGCAACACTGCCTGTGCTGCTATGCCCCAACCACAGAAGCGGCATGATGCCTCTGTACTACTAGTACTAATACTCACTTGACTTACTAGTTCCTATTGCAGAAACAAAAATCTCTAAAATCTGATTGCTTTTATAATTACACCATATCAATTATCCCATTCTCCTTAATAATACAGTTCAGAGAAAATGTTTACAGCTAAGCTTCCTACTCGGAAGGTAGGAAAAGAGCCAGCTCCTGGTGCTCGGGAGGTCCGAGCACAGCCAGGCAACCACGCCCAGCTCTCTGGCGCGCTGCGGAGCCAGGGGACTCATGGGAGCCTAGGAGGTCAGGGCCAGGCCAGGCAACAAGTGGGAGCCTAGCTCCACAAAAAGCTACAGGTGCTCCGTGGGCAGGAAAAACAGTGAACTAGGGAAAAGGGTGAAGGAAGGGAGCAGGAGGAGGAGCAAGTGGGAAGATGCAGGCTGGAAGACAAAAGCTGACACTGTTCCAGAGTCACAGTAACTCTCCTGGGACTGCCCAGCAATCAGGTAATGCTCTTGAAATTCACTGATTCACTGAGAGAACAGCACTGACAATACTATCTACTTAAGTGTAAATGGAGCCTGTAAGCCCAGCACTCAGGAGGCTGAGGCAGGAGGATTGTTGCAATTTGAGCCCAGCCTGGGCTACAGTGAGCTCAAGGCCAGCCTGAACTGCACAGAGAGACCCTGTCTCAAAAAGACTAAAAAAAAAGTAAATGGAATTAGAAGAAACTCATGACTAGGTCACATTTCTTAGAAATGTACTAAAACTTATGAAAATTGGCCCTTCCCTAATTATTGATTTACTAACATTTAATCATGCAGCAACTGCTTTACAAAGAAAAAAGTGACAATTACAACACAAGTGAGAAACAGAAAGTCAGCAAGCAGGCTAGCACCGACCCAAACACTGACGTGGCACAGCTGCCCCAGGCAACAGTGAGGAAAAGGCAGACCCAGGAAGTCACCACCACGTAACCTAAATCCACCGCTCACATATTCAGTTAATTAAAGGAAATGCTGCAGACTGAACACACAAACATGATGGTTTCTAAGCAAATGTAAAGAGTGCAAATAAGCTCCAGACTGTATTTGGGAGAACCCCACAGCCCTGGGCTGTGCGCAGTTCAGTACACAGGACACGGTCGCCCTGAGGCACCGCCTGCATAATGACCACAGTAAAATACAGGCTTCCTTCAACTTATTCTCTAATTATGTCAAGCAGTCTGAATGCACCAAGAGAATTTTACCAACAGCTTAACAAGGTGCATATTTACATTTTCATCTGCAGCTTAAGGATGAATTATTAAGAATGATGATGACAATGAAAAATAAGATTAAAGGTGTTCATTTGGGGGAAAAGCTCCATCATTCTCATTCAGCCAAACACAAATGCTTTGGCAATGAATACAACACTGCAAAACAATTCACAGCTTTACAAAAAATTGGTAAGAATTTCACTGTAATTTTTTTCCAACTTCCAAAATTAAAAGAATTCAACTTACATTCATGCCTAACCTCCTCACTCTAAAATCTGTAAAATGTACAAAATACCGAGGTTGTCAACAGTCACGAAGGTGCTGAAGTCAGGGGACGCGTACATCTTCTTGAGGTTGGTTCCGTTGGTGTAGAAGGTCTGCACAGACTCCCCAGTGACGACGTCCCACCACTGCAGAGGAAAGCGAGAGTCCTGTGAGGCGGCGGCCACGCTGCTGCCATCCACACTGCAAGCAGCCCTCTGCCGCCAGCTCCACTCCCCTCCTCGCACGCACGGTGGACATGGACTCTGCCTGGCTCCTGACCCAGGCGCTCTACCTAAATGGGCTGGAGGACATTCCTTCCTGCTGTAAAAGCAGACCCCTGTACCTGCACACTCTACCCCAGCCACTGGTTCAATAAGGACTTTCTAACCATCAGGCAATAGGGCTGGGGAGATAGCTCAGCAGCCTAAGCGCCGGCCTGGCAAGAGCAAGGTCCCAAGCTCGATCCCGGTACGCTCCAGAAGAGCTGTTGATCCTAACATGTTCAGAGCAATGAGCCCACGGGCTGATGCTGTAATGAGAAATATTGGTGATTTGTCCAAACTCACATACTGCACAACACTGAGCAGAAAAGGTGATGCAGACTGCGGACTCTGGTGGTAAGTGTGCTCCGAGCAGGTTCAGCTGCTGTCACAAACATCCATTTTGGGTGGAGGCTGAGAGTGGAGGATGCTGTGTAGGTGAGGGGCTTAGGGGTTAACAGAAAACCTCTGTAATGAGCTAGTCTTATGACCCCATTTTACAGATGAGAAAACTGAGGCATAGAGAGACGAAGGAATCTTGTGCAAAGTCCCAAAGTTAATGAGTGGTGAGCCAGCCTTGAACACCACAATCTGTCCTAAAGTCCAGGACAACATCTAAGGTGTGCCTTGCCTTCGTCACACTGCTTTTGGGTGTGGGAATCAACATGAACTCTGTCATCCTACAGTGCATGCTTTGGGGCAAACTCACATAAAAGCTAAGCTGTATTGTTCTACACTTAGCAGGAATAATTTTGAAAGTTGAGAACTTTTTAGCTATCTGATACCTACTTTACCTCATAGGCAATACAGACTAAATTCTGAAGCAAACAGACTCAAAAAGGCTAATTCCTTGGCCACTTTAGCACCTGTTCCTTTTACTTTTAATTTACTCTGCGCACCTGGATGGTCTCCATACCATTCTGGGTGGATGCGGGTCTATCTACAGCAAGGTCAGCTTAACCGTGCTGGTATTCAAGCCAGAAGGTTCATGCAGCCTGGTCGGCACTTAGCCATCCTGACTACACGTGCGGCTGTCACTGCCTTCCGCTGTTAAGAGACTGCCTCAACAGCATGAAGGGCTCTGCCACAGCCTCACTTCCAGGTTCTCCTGAAATTGTGTAAATCCAGTCATGGCTCCTTCTAACACTTTAACTGGCTTCATTTTTTTTTTTTAATTAATTAATTTATTTTGCGTGTGTGTGGCCAGCTCAGCCCACCAGGGGGCAGGGCTGGCTGGCATGTGGTGCTGGGGGATTGAACCGCAGTCCCTGTGCTTTGCTTGGCTTAGCTTGTTCTAAGTAGGTGCTTTAAACCACTGCGCCATCTCACCAGCCCCTTTCTAACACTTTAAAGTGCAAACTCACAACTAGCGACAGGATTCTAGGGGCCCTGGGAAGCAAGTGAGATGGTGTCCAGGACCTGGTGTCCAGGAGGTAGAGCAGTTCTGTTCTCAGCAGCTGATTCAGCTGAGGACATCAGCGCCCCATGCAAGGCAGCAAGATCTCTCCTCCCAGCAGCATCACAGAGCCAACCAAGAGGACAGTCTGCCGCTACACTAAGGGAGGACAAGTGACCCTCACAGCCCAGGACTGTGAAGGCTGCATGCAGGTGTGTAGCATTAACAGAATCATGACTCCTATGCAAAATGTGAAGGAATCCTAACAGACATCCTTTCATAAAGCTAAAAACTCCCAATTCACATTTTTCACATTGAGTAAAATCATAATTACATGGGTCCCTTTAACCAAACACTTCCTTTTGAAAATCTATACTGTGCCGGCCAATTAATTAGAATAATCCACATTTCTCCGTTTTCAGTAACAGACAGCAGTAGCAAAGAATCTGATGGGATCTAGTTGAAACAAAAAGCTGGTAGAATATCAAAGTGCTCAGTGGAACACGAGTTTCATCTTCTGCCTCCTGGACCGGTGAACAGCTCCTCACGGCTCGCTGCGGGACCCCTCTGCTCTCTTCCCTCTCCCCTCCTGCCACATCCAGTGCATATGTGTTTTGGACCCTCCCAGGCTTTAGTTGCTCTGTTCACCTTCTGCTTCCCGGTACGCAGGAGCAGAACTGAACCACTGCGCCCCACAGTATGACTCAATGCAGAGGCTCCGAACACACTGCACTAATGGCTGGCCTTGGCCTCTACTGGCCCTCAACTGGGTAAGTCTGCAGAAGCCAACTTGTGAGGGAAAACTGTGGTAGAGGCCCTGGGACCCAGTGAACATCCTGGCCCACCTACTTACTAATTATATAAGTTTAGGAAAATCACAACCTCTATGAAAATGAGTTTGCTCATTGTAACCCAAAGACAGCAAAATTTAAGCTTAAAAAAATTAGCAAATGGGGCAGGGGAGATGGCTCAGTAGAGTAAGTGCTTCCTTGGCAAGCGCAAGGGCCTGAGTTCAATCCCCAGTTCCCAAAAAAAAAAAAAAATTTAGCAAGTGAAGCATGTCATAAACTATAAAACATTAAGCCACTGCCATTCTTACCAAAGAAAGGAAGTTTTATAAATACGTACTCTTGACCACAATACTTAACACTGAGTGACGTGGAAATCAACTAAATGCCCCGCACGCTGTTGCACGGATCATGTAGGTGCGGTACGGGTGGCAGGAGCACAGTGTGCTGAGAGCATTCCTACCAAGTCTTTGCCTCACAGACCTCAGTCTCACTGTGCTGTGCTGGAGGGAGCCTGAATGAGAAAGCCAGGCGAAAACGGTGCGCAGAGAATGACAGAAGCTATTCTTTTCTTCGCAGTCCTTGAGAGCGCTTACCTTAAGATACCCTCCAGCAGAGACAAGCATTTTGCTGTCTGGAGAAAAGCAAAGGTCAGTCACCCAGCCTCCGTGGGTAGCAGCTCCTTCCTCTACTGAAACCGGAGCACACAAATGAAGAAGCTCCCCGTCTGATACACTCCATATCTGTGTGAACACGATACACAATCCATCAACAGGGCTACCAAGAAGCTTCTCTAATTTTAAAGCACACATGTGCACAATCTGGGATATACTTGGAAATGGTGCTTTTAAAAAAAGCATTAGAGGCGCAGGCCTGTAATCCCAGTGCTCAGGAGGCTGAGGCTGGAGGACTGCTATGAGTTCAAGGTCAGCCCGACCTACAGCACAGTTCAAGGTCGGCTCAACTTCCATAGCAAGACCCTGTCGCAAAACAAAACTTTAAAAAAAAATGAAAGTGACTTGATTACACCGATTCAACACCTTTAATTAAAAGAGGGGCTTCTGGTGGAGCCCAGTGGTACAGTGTGAACTTAGCATGTGGAAGGGCCTAGGTTCAATCCCTGGCACAGGGAAGGGGAAAAAACGAATGAAGGAAAGAAAAGCAAGGAACATGAGGCCACCCAAGCTACCTCAGAGCTGAAATAAAATGACAAGCAACACTACAAATGTTGACCAATGTAATCTAAACTCCTGACGCATATAAATCCCTCCAAGGTTCTAAATATATATTCAACTATTACTTTACTAAACTCTTAACCAATCGTTTACAGATACTAATATGTTCTTTTATTCCAGTGGCAATCTCCAGGCAGTGAAATGCACAAGAGAATAAAAAAAAAAAAAAAAAAAAAAAACAGGAATATATAGCAAAAGAAATAATGAAATCCATCATTTGCAAATATCTCCCTAGAAATCCAAGAGAAACAAATGAGAAAACCCAGAAGGAAACTCAGTAAGGCAACTAGATCCTAGATAGATAAGACAGATAGGTAGATAGACAGACAGACAGACAGACAGACAGACAGACAGACAGATAAATCAATCTCCAAAATCCAATAGCCTTCTGACAAGTAGAAAACATTTCCTTTGAAAAAAAACAAATCTGGGATGAGGGACATGACTCAGTAGAATAAGCGCTTGCTTGGCAAGCACAAGGACCTGAGTTCAATCCCCAGTTCCGCCAAAATAAAGAAAGAAAGAAAGAAAGAAAGAAAGAAAGAAAGAAAGAAAGAAAGTGAAAGCGTTTAAAAAAATAAAAAATAAACAAATCCACCAAGGAAAGGTTTTGAGAGGTTTTTTTCTTTCCTGTAAGGGTTTCTAAAAAAATAAGACACTGTCTCTTAAGCGGAGAAGGAGCCCTTTCACGCAAAGATGAGACCCTGGAGGGAAAGGAATGCTGTCACAGCAGCCTGGCCACCCAGCTAGCGTGGCCCTTGTGTAAGCAGGCGAGTGCAGGTCAGTTCCTTAGTCCTCGAGTGGGAGAAGTTTACTTTTCCTTGACAGCCTTTCTTACTACATTGCACTCCTACAAAATCCACTCTCTCTTGTTCCTCTGCATTACATACTACTCTTTGAGCTCTTAATCTGCCTTGCTAAAGAAACAAAACAAAGGGGCTGGGGAGATAGCTCAGTGGAATAAGCGCCTGACTAGTAAATGTAAGGTTCTGAGTTCGATCCCTGGTACCAAAACAGAAAAAGAAAGAAAAAAAAAAAATCCCTCCTCATTTAAACTGGTTACCAACACAGCCATCCCAACGCCTAAAGTTTTCCTTATCTGTGCATTCATGGCATCAGCAAGCTGACTAAAGGTTTCTCCATGATTTCTGATCCTTCTAGCATGCAATGCTTTCCATATTGTACAATATTCTTGTGGACAGGCAGAGAACACTGGGCCTTCTGGAAAGATTGTTTTCTAAATAAAACTGGCTCCACCTATAAGTTATCTTAAGCACCACAGGGGGATAAAAACTGGCCTATTATACAGACTTGGCCTCACTGAGGCACCCCTCAACCCCAGCCAACACTGGTGATGATGAGTACCAGCCCTATTTCGGCACCGAGGCGGACACTCTCGAGGACCACGGCAGACCGTGCTGTAAGAGCTGTGGAGTGCTAAGACAGCCTTGCTGTGAGCTGCGAAAACAGCAGAGCTTTCAATTCATTTGTACCTCAGACAATGATTTACAAAATGACTTTCTTCAAATTCTGCCACTAAAAACAACTTTTGGTTTGAGTTCAAAATTTTGGATAAATCATTCATAAAGTAGCAGCAGAGAATCAACTGCAAATAAGTAGGGCATTTGCCTCCTCAGATATGTAAGGAATGCTCAGTCTAACCCTCAAATGAGTCCTTCCTGCAGTGCAGGACAGCTATGACAGTGCATACGAGACAACAGAGATGTCTCACCAACCCCCAGGTCCCCAAGGCTCCTGCTTCCCTGTCCCATAACAAAAATCCCCATGGGTGACAGTGCTGGCCCTTGCTTCAGACAGGGCAGTGCCCTCAGTTTGGTGACACCCTACCCTGACTTCTCCATTGTCGTCTCCAGTCGCCAACAGCAAACCATCCTCAGAGAAGGCAGAGCAGCGCACACAGCCGTTGTGGCCCTTCAGTTCATGAAGAGGGGCAGGGTGCTCAAAACTCCAAATCTGGAAGGCAATGGAGATGGCTTAGGATGGTGACACCACACCCTCCACTTGAGCACTTGCAAACTCTACCTCAAGTGCTGTTCCACCACGACCACAACGAGGTCCTAGGCCTGGCCCTGCGCACCTCCACCAGCTGCCCAAGATCCAGTGTGTGCCCTTCCTCAGTTCCCCTCTAATTACTCAGGTTGAACCCAACCTAAAGGCCAATGTCATAGCACATTCATATTCTGACACAGAACATGGAACCAGTTAACATTCTACACAGTGGGGCAGGTAAAAGCACAGCTCCTGGCTCCACTCTACCAGTTCCTTGATTCCTAGGAAAACATGTTCGCCTAAGGTTCTCCAGCTCCAATTTCTGCAGCTGTAAAATTTGGAAAATGGCACCTAGATGTGAAGAGGAAAGGGGGAATAAGGGACTACACAGGGCAGGAGCTTTTAAAGGCCAGCCACTACAAGGTGCGAAAGCACAAGACATCCTGTTTTAGGTACTACTGGATTCATAATACATAATCAGTGCTCAAGTTTTATGCATGAGCACTCAAACCTAGTGCCCTACCTTCGCAGTCTTATCAGCAGACGTAGATGAAAATTTGGTAGCATCAGAAGAAATATCACAAGAAAGTACTGTACCCTGGTGACAGACGAAATCCTTTTCTATTCTTCCAGTAATAATATTCCATATCTAAAAAAAAAAAAAAAACTAGTTGACACAAAAACATTTGCATTAAGAAGCACAACTAGCCACAAGTCACTCTACACAAGAACCCAGTACACTGGCTGGCCTGCCAGCGTGCAATGCTGTCCATACTGTGCCACAGTCCCAGCAGGCAGGGGACACCCGGCCTTCTGGAAAGTCATTTTCTAAATAAAACTGGCTCCACTTATAAGTGTGTCTCAAGCACTGCAGGGGATAAAAACTGGCCTACTGTGCAGACAACCTCTTTAAGAACCTTTTAATAAAAAGGCTGGCAAATATAGATACCACAGTAAACAGAAGCAAACATAGTAAAAAATTTATTTATTTAACACCCAATTCTTTGAGTCTAACAATACAATCATTGAAATATCAAAATACATTTTTAACAAAGATCCTGAGATTTAAATTACCTTCACTGTTCCATCAAATGACCACGAAAGCAGTCTTGAATTCTCTAGGAGCCTAAAGTCTGTCACTGTTTCCTGATGGGCTTGGAGAAGGACACACTCCTCTGACTGCCAATTCCACACCTGAGTATGAAAGAAAAGGGTCCATTACCACAGCTGTCTAATAACGTCCCTGGGGTATGGAGGAAGGTGTGCACTCTACCTGAGGTCTTGTGACCTTATAGCATTGAACAGAAAAGAATAACAAGGAATACTGTGCCCATATTCTTAGAGAAAAGCTGGGGTTAACTTGAGTAGAGACAAATAAAATACTTTTCCTCCAAAATAAAATTTGTGGGCCGGGGAGATAGCTCAGTAGAATAAGTGCTTGCCTGGCAAGCACAAGGGCCTGAGTGCAAGCCCGGGTTCTGCCAAAAAAAAAAAAAAGGCTAACAAAATAAAATTTGTTTTCATCAGTTGCTTGGAGAATAGCTAATTATACCAGAAGAGAGAAAAAAGCCACAACATGCCAGTTAGCTCACCATCTGATTAAATTTTCCAGAGACAATTATCCTAATTTCTAAAGCCACAAGCAAGGCGAGACTGTGGGTTCTGGTGCCACTAAAGCTGGCCCTATGGCCCAAAAAGCTCAGCTGACCAAAGAAGGCCACAGAATCGGTCTTAGCCGTCCCTAAGGCCGCACAGCTGTTTGTTTTGATTGAAAGCTCTAAAAGGTTTGTCATCTCTGCCCAGAGGCAATCCCCCAAATCCCAGAAGGAGAAATAGGGCATTATTTTCCACACAGTGCTTCAAGAGTAAGTCCTCAGATGCAAAGGGAGAACAAGGAACTGAAATAATGGCAGTCACCAGCACAAAATAAGCACCCAGCACATCTGAGACCCAGCAGTGAACAGCCCAGAGTGTAGACATCCTTTCTGGCTAAATCAAAGGAAATGTATTTATACCCTTAATTTATACAATAAATGGTTGAGAAGCAAATGTAAATCAAACAAGGATCTACCTCAAAGAAAATTAACCATCTCGAAAATGAAATTTAAAAAAAATCCTACGTAGAAGCTACTAATGATAGAGACATAACTTCTGTGGAATGCATGCAATTTCTTAGAGGAGCTCTGGCGGAACCCAGTGATTAAAGGCAGTCTACAGCAAAGACTGCAGCATGACCACAGACTGACAAAGGCCACATTCCCAGCCTTTTCTGAGACAGGGTTGGGCTCAAATTTGCAGTCTTCTTGCCTCAGCCTCCCAGACAGCTAGGATTACAGGTACCACCAGGCCTAGCTTGAGAGAGGCTTTCACACATGAGGAATGAAAGTACTAAATATGTGAACCAATTACAGGGACCTCCTCCTGGATCAACAAGGCCACAACACAGCACAAGCAGAAGAAACGGAGGAATAAGGCTGGGAAGACATTCAAAGGACAGCCCCCAGGGCCAATGAAGGAGTGGGAATCAGGCAACTCCAAAAGAAAGAGAAGCTTTCCTTCTTTCTTTTCTTTTGGTGGAACCAGGGATTGAACTCAGGCCCTTGTGCTTGCCAGGGAAGCGCTTATTCTACTGAGTCATCTCCCTGGCCCCCATGTATTTGGTACAGGGTTTCACTACACAGCTTGGACTCGTAGTGATCCTTCTTGTTTTCAGGCTCCCCAGCGCTGGGATTACAGGCATGCACTGTAAAGGGTTAATAGAGTTTTGTGCCTTAATTGTAAAAAATTATAAAAAAAAAAAAAAAAAAAAACCTTGTGCTTCCTGTTATCTGCTCTAAAAAATGTGCTCTACCTTTCTGTTCAAGGCTGTTCAACAATAAATGTTTCTTGTCAAAGCAGCAAGCTAACACAAACTCCCTCCCCAACCATCTCCTATAACATAGTCAGCTTAAAATATATCTTATAAAAATACGCACTTATCACTAAGCTGTAAAAGACCATTTAGTTATAAACAGTCTGCAGCTGTGTCAAATAAATGCAATTTCTGTTGTTCTGTACTAGATAACAAGTTTGCTAACCAAACTAGATGTGATTTCTGTTATAAATACCCCCTTGCTACCTACGTTTGGGGCCGATCAGCCTTCTCCTATGAGAGAAGCGGCTGACGGACCTGAGCTCAGTAAATAAAAGGCTCTATTCAAATCTCTATCTGGCTGATCTGGTTCCTATACAGAGGTGACCCATAACATGCACCACCACACCCAGTGGCTGGCTCAGCGTGCCCTGAGGCAAGGCTGACACAGCTTGTGATGCGGGATCAGGACTGAACCCTGGTCCCTGTGCTTGCCTAAGCAGGCGCTTAGTGCACTGAGCTTTCTCACTGGCCCAAAAGAGAAGATTTCTGACAATAATGATACCGATGCTTTTACACTAAACTCAAACACACTGCACTAAAACTGAATCACCTTGACAGAACAGCTACACTTCCACCAACACTAGCCAGATGTACTTGAGGTGAGTTTGCAAAAATCTATCATTAGCTATAAACTTGGTAAGTACACACACAGAAATGTTTCCATCTGCAGCATCAGTGATGACGCCCTGGAGCACTCTACCACTGAGCTACACTTGAGACCTTCTATTTTGTTTTTTGTTTTTGTTTTTTTTTTTTTTGAGTCAGGGTTTTGCTCTGTTGCCCAGACTGGTCTTGAACTTAGAATCATTCTGCCTCAGCCTCCCAAGTAACTAGGATTATAGACATACAACACCACTCCTGCTAAAGAAATTTCTTGTATTTTCAAGAACCAAGATAGAGAGATAGACAGACAGACAGACAAATTTCTTTTCTTTTTCTTTTTTTTTTTTGAGACAGGGTTTCACTCTGTAGTCCAGGCTGGCCTCCAACTCGAGGCAATCCTCCTTCGAAGTTTCCCAATGGTGGGATTACAAGCGTACACCACCACACCAGCATACCCTACGAAGAACCAATATATTCTTGTATTACAAGTATAAAACCTCAGTTATTTTGCACAGAAACTGACTCCAATTCACCAGGTGAGCTTATTTTCCACACGTTAGTGATAACTTCAGCTTGACAGAGGTGTGCTCAGCCCCTATTACAATCCAGGCACTGGGGCAAAAAATGATCCAAGACAACCTCCATTATTTAGTCACTGACTAAATCATTAAAAAACTAAGGAACCAGCCATTTCTTAGAAGGACCTATCAAGAATTTTGGTACATGAATGTATACTCATTAAAACACTATAAATGTAAAAAGTATTCTGAACAGAAAAAGATGAAACACTACTTATATTTCTAAATATAATCTAACTCCTTTTCTAAAAATATTTCTAGAAATTATTTCTCCCTTTGGCTTAGAATATCTGAAATCCTCAAGCAGGTCATAAACCTTAGGAACTTTTGGTAAGAAAGACTGCATAGCACAGTGTCTCAGCAGAGCCCATCAGATACAGCTGGGTTTCACCCCTTTCAAAGACATCTGGAGAGGAAGAAATGTGACTACACAGGGACCCACAGCTAATAAAGGAGTGTCTGTGAGCCTATAATAATGAGCCTGTACTGAAGGCACATTTCGCTCTAATCCTACACCTTCACAGAGCTCACAAAGCTCTAACATAAAAGGATCACTTTCCAAAACAGTTTTGAATACTCCCGTTGAATACTGCCACCATAAGAAATTTATACAAAAAGTAATACAGTAACTGCCACTGAACGTGTGCGTTGATCTCCTTCATTCCTGAAACCCTTCTCAAATGGCAAGGCCAAGAGAATGGGAGAGGAACAACAAAATACTAAAGGCAGGAAAGCAGACCAGTAACTGACTATGGCTCCAAGGAAACAAATCCTAAGAGCACAACAGGAAACTGAAAGCAACAACGCTGATGCCATGACCTCCCCAACACCCAGAAGATGGAAGAACTCAGTACAGCCGAAGGCAGGGTGAGGGTGGGGCAAAGAACAGAAGTAAGAAGATTCCAGCTTTCAGGTCTCCCTGTCACCCTCCATTAGAAGGGGGAGGTGGTTCTAGGAGCACAGGCCTTTGTTTTAAGGGTTCTGGCCATATTAGATGACCACCACATGAATTTAGCAATTCATACTAGGGCCCGAACCTATCAGAACTGAAATCTTGGATTATAGGGCCCAGCACAATTGAGGGCAGAGCTTGAGTTCTGAGAACAGGGACCAGGTGAATGTTGAGATCCAGTTCTCTTGCGGCCCTACCCCAAATCCTGAGGCAGGACAGCCTGCCAGGCAGGAGACTAGAGACTCCCTGCCAGGAATCTAAGGACAACCCTTGCAGAGAACATCTCAGTCAACACACAGCTTCGGTCAGCCTCTGTACACCCCTCTCTGGCAGCTGATGAGCAGCCAGGGCTGCAGACAGCTTTAAAATGAGAGGCAGAGGAGGCTGGGGAGATGGCTCAGTAGAATAAGCGCTTGCCTAGCAAGCACAAGGCCTGAGTTCAATCCCCGGTTCCACCAAAAATTAATAAAATAAAATAAAATGAGAGGCAGAGCAACCAAAAAGGAAAAACAGCATGGCTAGGGAAGAGAGGTGTGGGAGCAAATTATAAATATCTGTGTATAAATTGCATGAACTTACATATTTTTTCTCTATATATTTTGTATGTCTATGCATAAGAGGGTATGTGTCTCTTCAAATATAAGAAAAGATATAACTCTGTTGTGCCCCAAATTATCTGATCAAGGAGATTATGGAGCCACAGAGGAATGTGATTGATGATGTACAGTGTGCCTAAGGATAGTCACATGGAAAGAAAACTTTCAGGCTTTCACAGAGAGCAAATTGGTCAAGCAATGGCCATGACTCATCCACATGGCTGACACTGACAAAGGATCTACAAAGTGCAGTATAGGGTTACAGGAAAATCCTGAGGGGACTTAACTGACCTTATCAGATACAAAAGTTACATTTCTTGTTATATAGGTCTTGCTTTATCTTGGTTTTAACCATCCAGCAGAACAGTATAAAAACGAGGTATACAAAGTAAGGCCATATTAATATGCTGAGCTGTAAAAGGCTCAAGTCAACAACTTTTGCAGATAACCCACTATTATTGTGGACTACTGGACTGTGTTGGATTGTTTGGCTGAATTCAAGCACCTATAGTATTTAGATGCCAACAGAATACCCATCTCTGACAGGACTAAACAAAAAAAGGGGATACAAAGGAAAGACCATTTTGTATTTGTATATACAGAATAGTTAGGATAGATATACAGCTACTTTCACTTAATTCAATGAGAAAAAAGATTTGTACTAATAGTGTTTGGACAGGATATCCTGTCTGCTTCTTGTACTATGGAAAACCACTAAGAAGATAATAATGTACAAGGTATTAATTTTTGAAAATGTCCTATTAATCAGCTTTGAAACTGTTTCATTGATATTTGTTTCTCAATAAAACAACATTTAAAAAAATATAAGAAAAGACATTCTATCTACAAAACAAAATATAATGCTCTTCAAAAGGAATAAACAATAGGAATGGACTCATGGGCACTAAAAGTATAATGGCATAAATGAAAAATTCAGCAAAAGAGTTGGAGGGTAAAACTAAGAAAACTCCTAATAGAGAACAACAGAAACAACTGAAATGTAGGATAAGAAAGCTAGATGATTTGTCTAAGAATGGACATCTGAATAAGGAGTGCTAGAGAAAGGTGACTGAACCAAAAATAACTTGAAGAAATAATTAAAGCAAACTTTTGCAAACTGAAAACTAGAAGTTTCAATTCAGAAGAGATACAAAATGTACAAAATGATAAGGGCTGGGGATACAGCTCAGTGGCACAAGTTCCTACCTAGAAAGTGCAAGGTCTTGAGTTCAGTTCCCTCCAGGTACCAAAAACAAACAAACAAATGTACAAAGTAATAGATGAAGGCAGCCAATATAAATGAAGACAGCCACGGCACACAATCAGAAAGTCTCAAAAGTCTGGAGACAGAGAAGATCTTAAAAGCTTCCAGATAAAAAGATCAGAAAGCAGAATGGAACCAAACCCAGTGTGAGGCTGAGGCAGGAGGATGGCACTGAGTTCAAGGCCAGACTGAAGGATATAGTGAGACCCTGTCTCAAAACAAAAGCAGAATGGATTCAGACTGGGAACTTGAAAGAAAATGAAACAGTACCTTCAAGGCAAAATAATTTCCTATAAAAAAATTATTTTGATTAGTACATGTTTGCAGTAAATAATTAGGTTCATTATGAGGAACTGGTATATGTACATAACACATCTTAATTTTTAGGGTAAAGTAATTTCCAACTACACTTAGCCAAAGGATGGATTTTTCTAAACTGCATAATGCAGAAAATGCATTTGTAGTACATGAGTACTCAAAACTGACCTAGTTGTAACGATGATATTAAAAGTCAAAATTTTGGGGGGCTGGGGAGATGGCTCAGTAGACTAAGCACTTCCCTGGCAAGCGCAAGGGCCTGAGTTCAATCCCCAGTTCCACCAAAAAAAAAATTTTCAGTTTTTTCATTAATGAGAAACATGCTTATAAAAAAAAAAAAAAAAAAAAAAAAGTCAAAATTTTTTCATAGCTGTGTTAGGCTGGTGGGGATGGGAAGCGGCACACGTGCACATGTGCATGCAAACGTGTGCAGAGGAAGGAAACGAAGCCTTCATCTCACTGCAGGAATTCAGTGGACAGCTGGGAAAGCCAAGAAGGCACTGTAAACACGTCATGTGAGCATGAAGGTGAACGAAGGATGGCAAGTGCAGCAGAGACCAGTTGGTGATAATAAGCCTTTTAATGCTATTTGAGTTTTGAAAGTATGTGCAATGTAACTTCAATAAAGTTAGGGAAATTTAAGAAGAACACACAGGGAGCTTAAAGCCTCCATAGCCGTAATTCTTTATTACAGCAAACTATTCTTTATAGAATTCATCCCTAAAGGATGAAATTATTTTAACTGGATTTTACTAATGTAAAGGGAAAAGAAGCACATATGTGTGGCAAAAAAGTATCTTTTGATAAAAACAAATAATGTTCCAAGACAGGTAGAGAATTCAGTGAATACTTGATTTTCAAAACAACATTTGGTAGAGGATTCTAAGTCAACTGCCTGTCACTCCCAATAATATCACAGAAAGGGTTTTCATCTAAGCCCATGAGCGTAATCTGAAAATATGTGTAAATGCACAACAGACTTCACATGCAGTGAATGTACCCTCCCGCTAGAGAAGTGCTCTCCTGCCATCCTCTGCTTATTTGCTCTCTCACCTGAATCACAGAATCATCAGAACTCGAAATAAGAGTCTTCCCATCAGCCGTGAACTGAATGTGCCGTACCGCTTTCTTGTGCCCAGTCCTGGACTGGAAGACTTTGTGGTTGAGAAGTTCTAAAACCTTCAAAGCAAAAAAACACATGAAATTAATTCAAAAAGATTAAATAAACCCAGGCACTATACCACAAAGACATTAAGCTGAACTTACACTAAAGGAAGTATAGAATTGCCATGTCTCAGTACTTTCCATTTACTTAAAAACACTCAAATAAGCCAGGTACAGTGGTGCATGTCTATAATCCTAGCACTCAGGAGGCTGAGGCGAAAGGATCACAGAGATTGAGACTAGCCAGGGTTATACAATGAGTTCAAGGCCAGCCTGAACTACATAGTAAAACACTGTATGGTGGTACACATCTATAATCCCAGCACTTTGGAGGCTGAGGCAGGAGGATTGCTGCAAGTTCAAGGCCAGCCTGGGCTACAAAGCAAGTTCAGGGCCAGCATGAACAGCCAAGTGAGACCTTGTCTCAAAAAAAAAAAAAAAAAAGCCCACACAAATGAATCACGCATATGTGCACATTAAATCAAGTGCCTGCTAAAATGCCCAGATGGCAGGAGGGACCAGTGATCTTCTGATTACACAACTATCCAACTCATCAAACAAGTGGCAGTCTGGGCTCAGTCTCCAAAAACAAATGACATTTAAAACAGAATGAAAAAGAAGACAGGAAAAATCCCAGGTGAAGCAAGAAAGCCTTCATAAACCACCACAGAGACAAAGAAAGACAAAACATGATGAGGGAGACAGGCAGAGAAAAAGAACCCATGACAAGGCTGTGGGACAGGGCAATGACAGGACTTCAGGTGTCATGAGACTAACACACCACAGGCAGAAAGTAAGAAACAGAAAACTGATGAGGATATAAAAACAATGCCTACAAATGAACTTATATCCTCCCAAAATAAATACGGTTTTTCTGCTCAAATTAAAATGTACTCAAGGAAGCCCAAGGTGCTGCTGTAACAGCAGATTCCACAAATACAAACCTAACCAACACGTTGGAAAAGAGGCCCCTCAGAGCGTGCAGGGGAGCCAAGAACAGAGAGCACGAAGCCTCCCTACATGAGAAGACGACGCAACCGCACAGTTCTATGGGGAAGGCAGGCAGCAGAGCCACAGGCTGCCTTGGCCACTTACAAAAGCTGTGAAAGCCACCAGCTCAGACATCTGCAAACAAAAACAGCCAACATCTAACATCCAGACCGTTACAAGAATGCAGTGGGAGCATTTAGCAAAGTGAACACACCTAAAAACAGTAACTGCTATTATTATTATTTCATGATACTAGATTGAACCATACAAAGCTGCCACTTTATACGTTTCAAACAGATTAAACACAGACAGGTATTGGCAATACACGCGACTCTTTTCCTAGTTATATTATTTGATGACTGAGGAGATTAAGAATGTGGACAAAGCATGTGTGTTTTGTATTACATTTTTAAACTATCTGGAAGACAGGTCTCAAGATATTTAGAGGTTAAAAAAATGTGGTGCTGGCTTGGCAGCAAGAAGGAAAAGGGAAATAAGGACACTTTCAGGATAGTACTGCACAACAACTTGACAGAGGAGACCATCTCTTACTTAGCAAATGACTGTGACACACTTTCTCAGAATAGGACCCCTCACAACAATTAATAGTTTGCAGAATAATGCAAGAGTCTTAACCCTGAATCCACACCACAATGGCTAGGGGAAATAGGTAACAGTCCCGACCTCACTTCCTTCTTCCTTTTGTGTATAAGCATGTCGTTTCCTGTTTGTAGGACAATATGGACTAGACAGTTTCTTAGGAAAATAAATCCAAGGTAGAAGAAATGTGGCTAGTGCCAGAATGAATAAGAAATAATTCTCAAAGACTTGGGTGAGAAAGTTGATTTTTTTTTAAATGTCACATCATTTTTATTTTCAGCTACATAAACATCTTTCTCAGGCAATAAAACAACTTGTACATGGGGTCTTACAATTTCTGAACACCTATTTTAAAAACAAACTTATCACATTATACAGAGTGGTGATATAAAAAAGATTTATAGGCTGTTTTGTTTTTCAGAAAGCACATACTTACACTGCAAACCTGCTCAACCAACCTTCCTAGTTAAGCCAATGCTGCAGAATGAAAAACTGGTTCAGAAGTGTTCTGTTAACAATACTTGAGAGCTTCAAAGGAATGTTCAGTTTCCTCCACAAAGAGCCACCAGAACTTTCCATAATCTCCCTTGGTTTCGTCCCGCGTGGCTTGGCACAGAGAGCTCCCACACATCTTCTGATAGTGCACTTTGATGTCATTCCTGTCGATCTCCGAGCGAGACCGTGATCCTGATCAGCACCTTATGGCAAGTGCCAGCGCCCTCCACTGCCTCATGAAGCCTCTCAGCACAGAAGGCAGGTGTGCTTGTGGCACATTTCACAGTGGCTGTGAGGCTCCTCTCAATGTCACCCTTCAGCTCCAGGTCCAGAGCCTTGCTCATGCCGTGGCCACTGTACTTGGTGTATCTCTGAAACACTCTAAGAAGATGGGGTGGCTGTGGGTGGTCAGAATGGTGTTGAACACATTTGTGTCTGTCCCTTTCTCCTTTCTCTAGCTTCATATAGAGCCCTGGCATCTGTGTCCACCAAGTCTTCATTCATACCAAAATCCTCACACTGGTCACCCTTACAGAGAGAAAGCAGAGCTTTCCGGAAATCTCAAGATGTGTCTGTGGTGTTGGCCAAAGCTCTTTTCGGTTCATCTCTATAGACTCTATTAATTTCTCTGATTTCTCTATTCTTTCTTGATGCCAAAATTTCAATGAGGGTGTCTGCATCAGTTCCAAGACCCTTCACAGCTGCACAGAGCTCATCTGCGTCAAAATGGGCAGCAGTTTTCAGCAGAGCTGAAAACCACAGATGACCTGTGAGGGCTCTCTTCAGAGCTTCATCCAGTGACTTCCCTTTTCCTAGAGGTAGGCTGCTGTGATCTGCTGATGCTGGGCATCATTTCTCTTCATCGGAATGTCAATGATGGCTGCTTCATCCACACCTTTTACCGTTGCGGCTTTGTGAAAAGCCTCAGCATCAGAGGAGGGAATAAAGCCAGGGTAGGAGCTCACAGCTGACCAGGACCGCCTTTGGATGCTTTCACAGTGTGCACATATTCCTGTTCTTGATTGTTAATAAAGTAGGCCTGCTTGAGGAATTCTGATACCATTGCCATTTTAAAGAAGTGTCCTTTTTTTCTACCTTCTTCCAAAGAACTCAAGAGAGGCTCTTCCCAGTGCTTTTAGTCAAAGCTGATGTTCTTTAAATATTATTTATATAGCTATAGAAAATGGCAACTTGTGACAAATTTCATTTATGATAAAAACAATATTTTCATCTAAAATGATTTTTACTACTACACTAGTTTTCTGGTCTTACCACCTGACTATTTCTACTTATTCAGTCTCATTAGAGAAGTTAAAGATTTCAGGAGGTGAGCATGCAGACTTCTAACACCAAACTCAGGCAAGTGAAGGTGGCTGGCCCTGATTTTTCCAAACAGCCTTCTCATCACCAAAGTGGGAACAACTTACACCCCAGCTGAGCCTCTAAAAAGAGGGGGAAAATGCTTTTGGTATAGCTGTATAAATCTCTGCCTGCCAGCGTTTGATACAGAATATTGATATAGAATAGCAAACCAAATATTGCAGAGAATAAGGAAGACAAAAAGCCTAAGAAACAGTAGTGAAGGCAATCTGAAAAATACACAACAATCTGGAAAAGATGATTTTCAGTCTAATGGAACAATGACTAATACAGTGCAGAAATACCTGTTTAGTATATAAACAGATATACAATGGCAAATGTTTAATTACTTTGAAATAAATAACTCTAGAATTGAGTACCTTAGTGGCTCCATCTTCATCTCCAAATGCAATGTACTGAAGATGTGGATTTAAGCAACAGCAACTAACTTGCGCTTCAGCTAGGTAATCAGTCTGACCAGTTTTTCCATTAATGAGCTAAAGAAAAACAAGGCACAATTAGTTGACAGGTTGAAGAAGCCATTTTTGCTCTTAACAGAGGCTTCAATTTAAAAAAATAAAACAGAAGATAACTAACAAGAGCTCCCACAGGAACAACAAAATCCTCTCCTATCTCAGCAGCTGTATTCAGCACTTTATAGTTTCATTTCATTTCACTTTTGTGGTTCAGATACATTTTCATAAAATAAAACAAGCTTTAAAAGGTCTAAAAGCAGCTGCCTGCCCCACCACTGAGACTCGTCTGTCTGATTTGTAAGCTCACAGCGAGCTCTATACTATCTTCCATTTCCTCGTAAAACCCACTTTAATAGAGCTACATGTGTCAAAATGCACTTTTCTGGGGTTTTTTTGTTTTGTTTGCTTTGGTTTTAATGTATTTGGTACTGGGTCTCACTTCTTAGCTCAGACTCAGTGATCCTCCTGTTTTCAGCCTCCCCAGCGCTAGGATTACAGGTGTGAGCCACCACGTCTGGTCTTGGTGGCCGGCTCAGTGCGCCCAGTGGTGGGGCTGGCATGGCATGTGGCACGTGATCAAACCCGGTCTCTGTGCTTGCTGAAGCAGGTGCTCAGTCCACTACCTCGCCGGCCCTTGTCTGGTGTTTTTCAAAGGGGCTAGTGAAAAAGGACTGAGACAGACATTGTATAAAAAGACAAATCTAAATTAAAATGTTGTTATAGTCTTCAAATCACTCACAAAACAAGGTAAGTTAAGATGCTCTCCCTGGGGCTGAAGGGGACACAGAGAGACAATGAAGACAGAGCCATAAGCATAATTTGTGTGGCTGGAATTATAAGGCTTAGATCACTCAACTTCATAACCTGAACCAATGCTGACTGTTTTTGGAAATCCCACAAAAGAAGGAGCCATGGCTGGGGAGATAACCTAGTGGTGTCTGCCTGGCAAGCATAAGGTCCTGAGTTCAATCCCCAGTACCAAAAAACAAAAAGGGGGGGAGGCCTTGGCTCTCAACTAAAACATGTGACCTCAGAAAGCTTGTTTCAAACCTAAAGCAACTGTCAGACATCCCTGTCTAATTTAGTGTCATAATCTAAAATTCTTGAATTATGTTTCAGCATGAAATAAGCAGTGAAATTTATTTCAGGTATAAAGATTATAGGACCAATCAACCACAGGTAGCTTTTTCCTTCCAACATTTTCCCCTGTGTGTTCTAATAGATATTTTAAATGAAGAATGATCTACTAAAAACTGAATATCTTCATCTCTTAAAAAATCAGTTTCAAAGGGCCGGTCAGATAGCTCAACAGATTAAAACACCTGCTTATGCAAACACAGGGACCAGGGTTTGATCTCGGCGTGTGCCTTACCAGCCCTGCCCCCAGGGCACACTGAGATGGTGAATGAGACTGGGCATGGTGGCGCATGCCTGTAATCCCAGTGCTTGGGAGACTGAAAACAGGAGGATCACTACGAGTCTGATCTGTGTAGTGAGACCCTGTACTAAATACACTTTCTTTTTTAAAAAATCAATTTTGGGGCTGGGGAGATGGCTCAGTAGAATAAGCGTTTCCCTGGCAAGCACAAGAGCCTGAGTTCAATCCTCAGTTCTAGAAAAAAAAAAAAAAAAAATCAATTTCAAGAGCTCTTTTAACTATTAACTAAAAAAGGTTTCATTCACTTAAATGGAATATCTTAACCCTCTCCCAACCACAGGCATAGCATAAATTATACTTTCACAGTCAGATAACTTTATAAATCCCCCAGTTCCTAACAACTGTTAATGAAAGGTTGCACAAATTTAACACACAGAAAATACAGGCATGGGAACACTGAACTTTGCAAGAAACTACAGTGAAAATATCCCAAGCAGAACAAACCGTCTATTAAAATCCAGCTAAGAGGAATTCATGTTCAATTCTGTATCTAAATTCATCCCAGAAAAATAAATAAATAAATAAATAAATAAATAAATAAATTCATCCCAGAAATATAGATCACTGACTAAGATCCTGAGGACTCAGGAAAATTTATGTAACACAAAGCAGGCTGAGTTTACAGGTGTCTCACAGCTTGACTCTGACTCCCACAGTAGGTGAAGACAAGTTACTGCAGACCAAATCTAACGGTCTCCTGAATTTAGATTCTACCTTATCCATACAACCAGCTGACAGACTGCAGGCAAGAGGGTCTTACAGACGAAGAAATGACAGGATCTTTAACCTTCCCCTGAAGCAGTTTTTGTCCTTCCCAGTCCCGGCTATCAGAGCCCTGGGCAAAGGAATGTCTCAGCAGTCCACATAAAAGCCAAATGGACAGCTCCTCTGCTGCCGCGCGCCCCACAACTCACTGCCCCTCGATGCTCGGGCTGGCACTGCCGGCAACAACCTCCTGCCCAGTTGCTCCGTGAGGGCTGGGATACTCCAATAAGTGCTTGCTTTCTCCTGCCCCCACCACTTCAGGCCTATCAGTGCAAGGCTGATAGCTCTGGACTTACTCTCAGAGGCTACCAACCTGCCACCGAAAGTCGACGCTCCCGAGGGCACCTGCTCCTTCCATTACCACTACCCAGGGCTCCAAAAGTACTGCTCTGTCACAGGCCCTGGGGCTCCTCTGCAGCCAGTTAGGAACAGCCTTTCTCGTACGTGTTAGACTCTTCATTAGTGCTCAGGGAAAGCAGCCCAGAGTCCACTGCAGACCCAGAAGAGATAAAGACTTCTCACAGTGACACAACACGCCTGTACTATCCACAGGTGTGGACGAATGGATGTATATAAACAAGTATACTACAGTAGCTAAGGCAGCTCTTTCCACCTCGGTTCTGATGACTTAAGACTCCTTCCCAACTGACAGTAGTTTTTGTTTTTTCAAAGGCCCTATTATTATCTTTCCCCTGCAAAAATGTTTCCATTAGTGCTTCTCTTCCAAAAGTGCTTCTGTTCCTCCTGGCTTACACATCTAACATGCCTAAATCACTCCTGTGAATGAGTGAAGGTGCTCCTCAGCCTCTAAGCAAACCAAGCACCGTGACCACAGGCCCACAGGAGAAGAGCATAGAAGGGGAGGGAGTACCTCATGTAACTCCAAATACCGGCGTATCCAAGCCTCTGTGCCAAGACCCATACACTTTTTCAACTAATGCCTACTGGTTATCAGTAGGTATTCTACAATACTGCCTGACCCCAAATCCATAAACAAGAAAAACAAAACAATTTTTCCAATTGTTTTCTAAAAATACTCACTTGTAGACGTTTTATATTGTCAACTGCAAGGACCATCACTTCATTTTCTTGAAACACAACATCTATTTCTTGCTTTAACACAATAGCAGAGTTTTTACACACCTTCTTTGTCTCCCAGACCTGATTAAGAAATAAAAAGAAACTAAAATAAAACCGTATGCTATCAGTCCCACCTCTGAGATAAGGACAAGTGTTAGCCTTAAAGCAAGATACAAACAAACTATGCTTTACAGTTAAAATCCCTGTTAGAGGGCCCATTCCGCTCCCCAAATGGAATTCGCTTTCCCGGTTGTTTTCCTGGTGCTGTTTTTCCTGATTAGCAGGTAAAACACAGTCGTTGCGAGACCCAGTCCTAGCCCAGGTCCGGTGAGTGTGTGGAGAGCTTCCTGCTACCCTGCGCCGGCGGGACCAGTCCCAGCCCAGGCGCAGTGTGGGCCAGACACTCTCCCACCCCCTCGGGCCGCCCCCCACCACTCCACCCTACCTGCCCCACCCCTCCCGCCAAGTAGGAATTTCTGCCGACTTCCGGGAACCCCAGAACCAGTCCTAACCCAGGTCCGCAAGAGGA